CTGCGTGCAGGCGAATGGCTGACACCGGATTCTTGGGATGTAGTCTTGCGTCTTCGTGAAGGCGAGTGCCTGCGCGCAGGGTCCTGATGGTCCACATCTGAAGGCGTCGACGAGATGGTAGATGTTCTCCTCTGCCGTCTGCGTGCAGGTGCGTCCTCCTTCTGCGTGGCTGTCGATGTTGTAGGTGCCGTGGAAGGTCGTCTGGATCCTTTGTGAAGGTTCCTCCTTCATGCAGGTGTCCCTCAGTGGAGTCGCGTCGTAGCCTTCCGGTCCGCCGAGCAGGGTTGTCTTTGATGATGCGTTGCTGCAGCCTTCTCCTGCGCAAAGCGCTGTTCCATCTGTTGCATAATCTGCTGAGTAAACTGTTGCATAAAGGCTCCCGGGTCGAAGGTCTGCGCTGATAGTGTCTGCGTTGGCGTCACATCAGGGATGCCTGTTTTCGCACTGACATAGGACCCTCAGTCCGTGTCGCGTAGATGGAGTTACCCGGCGTCGTGGTAGCAGATGATCTTTGGTATGAGGATCGGGGTCATCAAAAGTCTACTTCGTCCACAGGAGCGATGTTAGCGGTGAAGGATCTCTGTAGCGTCGCCTTCGATGAAGTCTTGGTCGCTGATCTCTTCTTCTGCGAAGATGACGACCTGGTCTCTTCTTAGAGCCGGCGGTGTCAACTGCAGCGACCTGCCCCGGGACATCCATTGGCAAAACGATAGAATGATGAACTTCAGTAACAGTGGTTAATGAACGGTTATTAGAGCTATTACACGATTTAGACATGACTTGAGAATGCCTCCTATGCCAATCCTTTGCACGTCTATACACAGAAAACAATCAAATTGAATTTGTGATAAATGCTGACATAAATGACAGCGAGAGCTGGAAGAACATATGACATTACAATTAGGACATAATGAATGTGGATCAACCGCAGACAAACGTAACTTGCATTGTATACAAGTTTTCATGAAATGACAACACGATGTAAACAACGTGAAAAATCTGCAAATTTAGATTAAAATTTCAAACCATATTGCTGGTGTAGATATTCCTAAAACCGTATACAGGAGAATTTGCGGTATAGGCCTAAATGAAAAGGATATTAAATGCCGATCGGGACTCAGGTGCTCTCACAAAGCGCCCACATGGAAGAAGGAGGAGAGAGTGACAAGACAGGCGGGTCATGTGACCAAAAGCCTGGGAAAAATACAGGCAAGGGAGGCAACTCATGGTGAGTGATTTTAGGTCTGCTTTTATGAAGGGAGCTTCAAAAAGGGATTCAAGTGTTTCCACTATCGTTCGCAAGAGAAGAGAGCAAGCAAAAAAGCATGAGTCAGGATAAGGAAAAATATTCAGTCTGTCTTGCTGACAATAGCTTATAACCACATTCACTCACTCATACACACATGCTTAACAACAAACAAATGCACACATGTACTTGTGTTTATATACATTTATTGATAACTGAAAATTCTTCATAATCATGATAACAGGTGCTCTAACCAGTAGACCACTGAGATAATGAGGAAAGTAAAAAAAAACCCCGAATATAATACCCTAAAGCATACAAAATGTGCCTGGCAGAATTTGAACTTGTTTAATTGAAATAAGTCATGTAATTTGTAATGTAAAATGATGTAATGTGTTTTAATATCTAATCCCACAATGATGCATCTAAAGCCCAGATTACAAACATCGGCATGTGCTTGGAGCGGTGTGTGTGTTTGTGTGTGTTTTGTGTTTGTGTGTGTTTGTGTTTGTGTGTGTTTTTGTGTGTGTGTGTTTAGCTGGGATGTGTGTGTGTGTGTGTGTGTGTGTGTGTGTGTGTGTGTGTGTGTGTGTGTGTGTGTGTGTGTGTGTGTGTGTGTGTGTGTGTGTGTGTTGTGTTTTGGGGAGGAGATCCTTGCTAACAAGGACATTAACAAGACCATGATCACGTTACCATGGTTCATGGTTACTGTAATCTGTAGGCACATCGAGATCACACTGTTGTGAAGACAAACATCTTGCGGGAGGCGTACCTATGTTACAGTAGGTCTGCACAAGGAGTCACCACAAGTCAGCCATTATGCATGACAGTACACTCACTAAACACAAGGCACTCTTACATCCCACTACAAAGAAAATCATTATTTGCACACATATGTGAACTTATGAAACACTAAATAAAATATACAACAGTATCATAATGTACATCTTAAAACAATATGAACTGACAAATTGTGATAATTAATAGTGATTAAAGTGAAAGCATAACAGAAAAAACATTGGAAACAAACAAGTCTGAAATCCGAATACATTAGTACCGGTGGTTACCATACAACCCAGCCATTATATGGACTTCCTGATTTCCTGCCCAAACACACTTCTCAGCATACATCAACATAACACAAAACTTGCTCAACTTTCTGTTGTATCAACTGATTACTAAAAGTGAACAAAAACCCAATATACAATCATGCCAGCCTGAAAACAAACATCATGGTAAAACAAATAGCTCTAGCCATGTCTGCTAACCTCTGTAACTGAAGTGCAAAAGACTTGAGTATAAGACTGCTAAGTATATCGGTGTACCTGTAATTATGCCTGTGCAGGTAAGCCTGTTCAAGTATGCCTCTGTAAGTATTCCTGTGTACATAACCCTTCTGTAAGTGTGCCTGCTTGTGAGTATGCCTGTGTAAATATGCCTGAGCTGGTATGCTTGTGTAATTATTAGTGCTAGAGCGATTGATCAATCAGTTAGCGTTTATGTTTGTGTATTTATGCCAGTGCATGTAAATTTGTGTTGGTATGTTAAGTATATGGTTGTGCATCTATGCCTAAGTGCATGTATGCTTGTGTTGGTATGCCTGTGTAAGTATGGTTGTGCATCTATGCCAGTGCATGTAAGCTTGTGTTGGTATGCCTGTGTAAGTATGGTTGTGCATCTATGCCAGTGCATGTAAGCTTGTATGTGTGCATGCCCATGTAAGCTTGTGTAAGTATGGTTGTGCATCTATGCCAGTGCATGTAAGCTTGTTTTGGTATGCCTGTGTAAGTATGGTTGTGCATCTATGCCAGTGCATGTAAGCTTGTGTTGTTGGTATGCCTGTGTAAGTATGGTTGTGCATCTATGCCAGTGCATGTAAGCTTGTGTTGGTATGCCTGTGTAAAGTATGGTTGTGCATCTATGCCAGTGCATGTAAAGCTGTGTGTGTTGGTATGCCTGTGTAAGTATACCTGATGAAGCAAGCCTTATAGCACATAGTTAACTCCAGACTCTAACTTATAGCACACAAACACTAACATTCCCTCATAATAATGTTCACTTGTGAGCAGCAATAATCTTTAGGAAATTGTACAGCAGTCTGTGGAAGAATGATGGGTTGTTGATGTAGGCTGGGCGGTGACCGGCTTCAGGGATGACAAATTGCTTGCTGTTGGGAAGTTTGATCAGGTCTTTTAGGCTCACGTGTTCCTAAATTTGTATCATTTTCACCATAAACTATCATGGTTGGAATCTGAAATCAAGCACAGGAAACATTTTTTAATATTAAAACCATTTCTGTATATGACGTCCTCAGACTTCTAATACACTGTAATAAAAGTTGTTGTTTTTTGCACCGATATGGGATTCTCAGACATGTTTCCTGGCCATAGGTCATCTGCACATTCTCGATAGCTAGAACAAATAGGTTCAGTCATTCTTCTGTATCAGCGGTATTCATTATTCTAACAACAGTTAATCTTCTGTTATGAGAGTGTGTTTTGTCATTTGTAATATCACATTGATTAAGTGATAATTATTATGGGTCACAATGTTTAAAAGTTTTGAGTGTGGGTTTTTGGCTCCTCATCTCGCATCATATATGTTCAAAGTGGTAATAGTATTTGTAGTGGCACGCCTCTTTTGATAGCTACCATTTGCTGGTTTTATTTTGTTTTGACTTCCGGTCTTGTCATCGCCTTTGTGTTTTCCACTTGGTTCCATGGCGCTTCTGAGAGAATAATGAGGGAGCCTTAGCTTTTGCTAGAATGCTCGGAGAACTGTAAGAGCTATATAAAGGCTGGTTGTTGAGCAGTGTGACATGGGAATTATTACATGACTGGATTTATACACATCTGTCTGCCATCGCCAAGTTGATCAACATTTCAAGATTGACTGTGCTTGTCTATTAAGTTGCTGTCATTGTAAACAACCTTCAATCAGTATATCTGTTCTCACTGTAATGTCAAGACTCTGGTGAGTAAATATTTAATATTTGTGACTCCAATATTTTAGATTTGTGAGTCAATTGCATTGTACTAGAAATCTGTATTGTCATCTCATTGTAGCTTGCCTCACTGTTTGCTCAACATATTATTGAATATTTTAGACTTGTCTGTGTTCTATTTTTTGCTGGTTCAAAGGGACTTTTAAACCTTATGTCACGCAAATTATTAACCGTAACACTTCATATTCATTCATTATCATCTTACCTAATCTTTCTTGTATTCCATGTTCCTTCCATTCCTATATGTTCCATTCCCTCAGGATCTTCCATTATCCTTCCACTCTTCTTCTATTCCTTCTTTCATTCCATTATCCGGCCTCCTTCCTTCCTCAGGCTAATGAGATCCAAACAGGGCTCCACTCGTGTCCATTCCACTAAGACCATCCAGGCCTCTCACCCTCCATTCCACCATCCATCCATGTCTTCCACTTATTCCATCGTCCATTTCCATTCCGGTCCATTCCTTATCCATTCCTTTCAATACCACATCTTTACCCTGTCCATTCCTTGTGCTGTCCCCTTCCACCACCACCTGTTTTATCCTGGCCTGACCTCCAGTGTTTTCCTTCCTTCCTGTCCATCCACTTATTTTCCTTCCTTGTCCACCTTCATCCCTGACCTCCCTGTCCACCTTCCTTCCATGTCCATCCTTGACCTCCATTCTTCCACCTTGTCCCTCCCTTCCTTCCTTCCTTCCATTCCTTCCTCCTACCTGGGTTTGTCCTGGTGGACCCCTTTTTCCTGTCCCATTTATTTCCTGGTCTGTGTCCATTCCATCTGTGGTTGTGCCTTCCTCCTGGTCTGTCTACATTCCTCCTGTTGGCCCTCCGGTCCATCTATTTTGTCCATCCACGTCTGTGTGCGTTGTGTCCTGGGGTCCTTCTTCCCGGTCCTGGCCTCCTGTGCCACCTGGTGTCTGGTGGTTTGTGCCTGGTGTGACCTCTGTGTGGGCCTCCTGGGGTTTGTGGCCCTGTGCCTGGTGTCTGGTTGGTTGTGTGCGTCTGTGGCCTCCTGCCTGGTGTCTACAGACCTGGGTTTTGTCTGGGCAGTCCTCCGCCTGGTCGTCTGGGTTGGGACCTCCTGTGTGGCCTCCACAGTGTCTGTGGGCCTCCTGTCTGGGTTGATCCTGGGGTTGTGTGTGCCTCCACTTGTGGTCCTGCCTGGGTTGTGTGCGTCTGGGTTTTGTGGGGCCACAGTGTCTGTGGTCTCCTCTGGTGTCTGGGTCCAGCCTCCACTTCCTGTGCCTCCTGTGTCCTTCTTCCTCCGCCTGGGCTCCTTGGCCTCCCTTCCATTCTATTGAACCTCCTTCTTCCTCCTTCCATCCAGTCCTTCCTTTCCTCCTGTCCATCTATTTTCCTTCCTGGGTGTTCCTGGGGTCCTTCCACATGCGTCTCCTGTCCATTCCTCCTTGTTGTCCTTGACCTCCTCCTGGTCGTCTGTGACCTCCATGTTCCTCCTGTCTGGTCCTTGTGTCTGGTCCAGGCCTTCCTGCCTGTGTCTATTTTCCTGTTCGTCCACCTGGGTGTGTGTGTCTCCATATTTTCCTGGGTTGCGTCCTGGTTGGCCATGTGTCTGTGGGCCTCCTCCATTTCCTGGGTCCGTCTGTGGTCTCCTCTGGTGTCTCCACCTTGGTGTCCTCCTTCCTCCTGCCTTGTGGCCTCCATGTGTGTGGCCTCTGTGGGATCCTCCTGTTCTTCCTGGTGTGTGGGCCTCCTGGTGTCCCTGTTTCCTGGTCATTGTGCTTCCTCCTGGGGTTGTTGTCTGGCCTCCTTCTTCCTCCACCTGGTGTCTGTGGCCTCCACTGTGTGTGGATTGGCCTCCTGTGCCTTCTTCCTGGTCACGTCCTGGTTGGGTTGTGTCCTTCCTGGTCCTCCTCTGATTACGTCTGGGTCCTCCTGTGCCCTGCTTCCTCCACCACCCCATTCCTTCCCTGCCTCCCTCCACCTATTCCCTTCCTCCATTCTTCCTCCACCACCTGTCCCTTCAACCTCCCTGTCCATCCATCCCCAGCCTCCTGCCTAATTCCACCTACCTGGCCATCCTTCACTCCTCCTGTACCCCTACTTCCTCCACCTGTCCATCTACCTTCAACCTCCCCTATCCACCTTCCTCCACCACCACTGTGTCTACATGCCTCCCTGTCCCATCTACATCCCCTCCTAGCCACTGATTCCACCACCTGGCCATCTACAGCCCCTCCCTTTCTTCCTCCACTACACAATTACATCTACAGCCCAGCCTCCCCATCTACATCCTGGCCTCCCTGTACCACTGATTCCTCCACCACATTACATCCAGCCTCCCTGTACCCCTGCCTACCTGTGTCTACCTCCTGTGTCCATCCACTCCTTTTCCTCACCACCTGTGCATCCTTCAGCCTCCACTTTTCTTCCTCCACCTTCCATTTGGCCTCACTGGGGCCTCCCTGTGCATCCTCCACCACCTGTGTCTACAGAACCTGTTCCTTATTTTTCCTTCCACTCACTGGGGTTGTCCTGGCCTCCTGTGTGTGATTCCACAGTGTCTACAGCTCTGGGTTGTGGCCTCCACCTGGGGTTGTCCTTTTTCCTCCTGTGTCTTGTCTACGTCTTCCTTCTGCCTGGGTTCTACAGGTTTGGCCTCCTGTGCGTCTCACCTACCTGTTGTCCTACAGCCTGACCCCAGCTGCTTCCTCCTGCCTGATGTCCTGGACTTGGGACTCCACTGTGCCCTGCTTCCTCCTGCCTGCCTGATTACGTCTACAGCCCTGACCTCCTCCATTACACCTGTCCCTGACCTCCCTGTGCCCTGCATACCGGTTTACATCTACAGGCCCAGGACCCCCTGTGCCATGGCTTCCCTGCTGCCTGCCTGGGTATGTCTACGACTGACCCTGTACCACTGCTTCCTCCTGCCCTCCCACCTGGTCACATCTGACCCTGATTATCCCCTGATGCATCTACATCCCTGACCTTCCCTGTGCCACTGGCTTCCTCCTGCCTTATGGGTGTATCTGACCCTGACCTCCTGTGCACTGTGCTACCCTGCTGCCTCACTGATGCATCTGACCCCTGACCTCCCCTGTGCCACTGCTTCCTGCTGCCTATCTGGGTACGTGTACAGCCCTGACCTCCCTGTGTCATGGCTCCCTCACTGCCCTGCCTGGTGGAGATCAACAGCTAGCACTCCTCTATGGCTAACTGGACCCAGCTAGACACCGGAACAGAGTGTCCCGATATCCAACCAGTTTTTTGAGTGGGGCTTTGTCCATGGAACAAGGACGCAGTCAAGGATTTGTTGCACTTCCCTTTGGATCCTGCTTGCCTTGTAGAGCGTATTTTTCAGCTGACTGAAGAAAGAGCAATAGCCCATCCTAGGTATAATCAAAGTTGTTAGTTGGGAAACAGATTCTGTGAGAGACAAAGGTTCAGCATAGCAGACAGGGATAGGAAACAAATCCACTGCCCTCAGTTTAGACTTGTGTCACTACACATATACTACAAAGTTATAAAGGAAATGTTGACAGTTTATAGGACATGCTCCAAACTGTACACATTTCACTCTAGTTTTTCACTTGGTGGAGGCAGCTTGGAGTGATTGGATGGTCCAGATTAATAGGAATAGTGGGAAATGAAAAGGGAATTATTTTCTGCTAATAGAATTGTAATATTGATCCATATTTGTGCAGTTATCTTGTCTTGTATGGTTAGCTTTGATCCTTGTATGCCGTATGTGATACAGTATGTTCCATGCTCACATGTGGGCTCTGTCTCTTTGTGTTGTCTGTCATTGCAGCCCTCCAGCTGTACTTCTACTCATGTCAGGATGATCTTTGTGTGAAAGCAATGCACTACATGGGCAGCTAAGCTGTGTGATTATTGGAACATTGTACCTCATGAGGGAGAGGGCCCAATAACTGCAGAGCAGTGACACTTTGGGTATATATGAATGTTATTACTTCATTTTGTATGAGATATATATACACTGAGATGCATTTCACAGTTGGAAACTCTTCATGTGATGTGCAAAAGCATAATCTTCGATGGAGCCAACCAATTATATTTCTTGTTTTACTGATCCACCGATTAGGTATTTTTTTTTCAAGAATAAGAGAGAAGAAAAAAGTTTCCAGCTCAAAAAGTAAAATCCGAGATTTTTGGGGGTAGAGATTAATGAGGGGTGAGTGGTTTTAAATGGTCCAAAAATGTAGGCTACACAAAAGCAGTTTTTTTTTCAGATTGTGTTTTTGCCTTCATATACACTTCATAAATTGTAAACGTAAATACTTTTTAGTATTTATTTATTTTTTTTATGTTTATTTTTTTTTCTCTCCTGCCTTTAGGTTTTCACAGGTACAAAATCCGTAAAACAAGAGAAATAAAGTGGATCTGGCCTTAGTGAGTACAATTAAATACATTCTCGAGGCCAGAAAACGTGACACCACACATGACATGATGAGATTGTTGTGTTGACTGGGACAAGGTCTTCATTTTACAAACGTGGTGCTCTGCCCAAGTTACCTATCTTTATGTTTACCAACTGTAGGTCTTAGGATGTGCACAAACTAATTATCACCACAATATAGCCATGTTTCAGTGGCAGTCACGTGTTGAAACTCTCTCTATTTGAGAGCTGTTACACTGATCAATGTGGTCACTTACAGCGGCATACTGTTATCAGTTACCTGAATTTCTACAGGAGTAGTGAAGTAGGAAGTAGTGATTGCGCAGTGAATCAAGCTATAAGAGCTGGCATGGGTATGAGCAATTCCAATCAAGGTCCTTAATCCAATACATCATCAGCATTGTTTTAATTTGTTGCACAACCACAAAAAAATCAAAGGCATTATAGAGATAGAGATTGACAAGTGTAAATGCTTGGCCATGTAGGAAAATGATTGTCACGGTCTAATCCTTCACCCTGTCTAGAAAACTGGTGTAACAGGCCAAACTTTCCATGGGGAGAGGGCCAAATTTTCCCACCCTTGAATCAACTTTGGGGGCTGCTTGTTTCAAACCCTTGTTCTTATGTCAAGGGAGATTCTGGCCCTAGCTGGGCTATTTCTTTAACGCCGAATTTCATGTTTATGTTCGTCTTGAACAAAATCGGAAACAAAAACCAAGAGACGTAGCTATTCACGTAGAGATACATTGCTAAGATGTTCATGTTGATGTCAAGTTCATTAACAATTTACAAGGTCATCTTCACCTTATACAGTTCACATTTTTTTCAATATCCTTATATAGGGTGGGATTAAAATAAAAGCATAAAAGCAAGAGATGTTATATCATTGCTATTGTTTTATATTATCATTTATATATTTTTATATTTCAATAATTTACTTATCTCCACTTACTCCCAAATTGACTTATCTCCGAAATCATTGCTATATTCAAAACTTAAAGCTAAATATGCAGTTTTTACTTGGATGTCCATATCCATTCCAATATTCCCTCACTCCTTGTAGCTTTAAATATGGCATCCACGTCAGCGACATCAGCTTAACAGTTGGAAGCAGGCGTAAACAACACATCAACAACAACACAACACAATATCTACATCAAATGCTGTATCATCTATCAATTTCCACTATATTGTCTTATTCTATATTCATAATGCAAGGTTTGATAAAGGTATACTTGGCCCATGGACATCACAAGATCATATTTCATTCACCAAAAGGAAACTGATTATGGATTAGTAAAACAAGTTATGTGAATACATTTTATACGTAAATACAACAAATATTAGATAATAAACAACATGATAAGAGGCAAGCAACCTGTGTATATTACATCTTATTTTACCCATCAAATGTGCGAATTTAATGTTTACAAATCTTATGGTGACATGATTTGGACAGATGAAGAACTAATACAATGTGTGTCTTCATAGGAATGGTGGCAGGAGCAGGATGGATTTAGGAGATATGCCGTTCATACATGTGCCAAAATTATGTCAAAACTGCTGTCAGTTTATAAGGTAGGGTGGAAGAAGTAGCCTGGCTAGGCAGAATCTCACCCATCACGATTATAAGGCAAGGGGTGGGGAAGAGTGGCCTAGCTAGGCCAGAATCTAACCCTTTGATATAAGAGCGGGGTGGGAAGAGAAGTACCCAGGTAGGCCAGAATCTGCCCAACACGATTATAAGAGCAGGGTGGGAAGAAGTAGCCACCAGCTGGGCCAAGTCTCACCCTTTTAATGTGAGGCAAGGGTGGGGGAAGAGTAGCCTAGACTCAGAATCTCACTGCTGCGATGTAAGAGCAAGGGGTGGGGAGGAAGAGGCCTAGGTGGGCCAGAATCTCACCCTTGCTTACAATAGCAGGAGCAAGGGTGGGGAGAAGTCCAACCTAGCTAGGCCCAGAATCTCACCCTTTTGATATAAAAGGCAAGGGTGGGAAGAGTAGCCTAGCTGGGCCGGGTCAACCCTTTTTGATATAAGAGCAAGGGTGGGAAGAGCCAGCCTAAGGTAGGCCAGAATCTCACCCTTTTTGATATAAAAGAGCAGAGACAGGGAAGAAGTAGCCTAGCTAGACCAGAATCCTCACCCAACACACGATATAAAGGCAAGGGGTGGGGAAGAAGTAGCCTAGCTAGGCCAGAATCTCCCAACACGATATAAGGCAAAGAAGTTGGGAAGAAATTAGCCCTAGCTAGGCCAGAAACAATGTCAGATAGGGTCATAGTGCAGCCCAGATTACACACTTTATGATGCAGTATCTCCAAGACAAACGGAGGCTGTGCTGATGGATTGTATGAAGTTAACGTGTAAATGGGAGAGAGTGCCAGGAGACTGATTTTTCAGCACACCATAACAGAGAAAATACAATAAAATGTCTCCGTTATGCATGACGATTATGGAACATGGACAAAACAAACTATTCCGTCCAGAGCTGAAAGAAGATGTAGATAAAATGCATACACGGTCGGATTCCTCATCCAGC